TGGAGCCGCCGCGCCGCCGGCTGCGCCCTCAGCGCCCTCAGAGCCCCTCAGCGCGGCGGGGACGGGCGGGCGGGGGGCGGCCGCCGGCACCGCATAGCGACAGCCAATGGTGGCCCCCGGCCGCCCGCTCCGCCCCCGGGCCCGGCCCCGCCACCGGCTCCGGCTCCGCCCGGGGCCGCCTCCCGGCGCGTCCCCGCGGCCGCGCTCGCCTGCCCGGGCCCCTTCTGCCCCTTCCTCTGCGGCCGGCGTTCCTCCTGCCGGCATTCCTCCTACCTGCACCTCTCCTGCCAGCACCTTTGCTGCCGGCATTCCTCCTACCGCCATACCTGCACCTCTCCTGCCCGCATCTCTTCTGCCCGCACCTCTGCTGCCGGCATTCCTCCTGCCCGCACCTCTCCTGCTGGCTGCTCCCAGCGCTCCCGGGGCAGAAGGGTTTCAGTGGCCTTTAGCTGTGGAAGCTCGTGAAAGCAGAGTAAAAGACGCCAGCGGCGCAGGCGGTGCAGCAGTGCAGGAAGCAGGTATTCAAGAGGTGGTTAGGAAAGTTCATCCGACTGGGAGTGACAAGGTGGGCATTGAAAACAAACAGACAGACAGACAGCATTTTATCAGCAGTGCACAGCCGAACGACGAGCCACAACACTTCTTTACTCTGTCCCACCGCGGACGAGTGTTGTTTTAGTGCTCAGGTGTGGTTTGGGGGGCTGCCGCCCCACTGTGTCCACCCCATTGCTCTGCCACGACCTCCCGCTGCCAGCTGGTGGGGGGGAGGAAGGACACCAGGTTACCGGAGGTGCCAGGATGGGTGTTGTTAATGGCCAGTTCACCCCTGGGAGAAGGATGACTGGAGCAGTGGCAGGCAGAAGGTAGCTCACTGTTAACTAGCGAGGCACTTCACCTGCTGTGGAGCAGGGAACATCCTGCACAAGCAGCGTGCAGAGGGTTTCAGTCATTAGGCGGGAACCAGAGGCTGAGTCCAGATAAAATGTTTGCCTGTGATGCATTTTGTTTAGTTTTGAATATTTCTGGGAGGACTAGAGGGAAGGAGGGAGCAGCCCAGGAGTGCCAGCAGCCCTCCTCCCTGTCTGGGACCAGCTCCTTTGTGACTTACAGCAACAGTGCTTTCCTGCCCTGAGTTCCTCTGGTCAAGGTCAATTGTTAGGCTAACTTCAAGTATACCTACGACCGATCTAAAATGTGATACCCATTTTCCTTTTTGGACTCTGTGATGTGATGATGGGGGCAGGCAGGAGAGAAGACTCCATCCTTTAATGATTTTTCCATCTCTCAGTGTGCAGGAGCAGAAAGAAGCCCCCATCCCTTATACACCAGCTGCTCCCCGGCTGGGCACAGCATGCTGTGGGTGACCCTCGGGCTTACAGAAGTAAACTGCACAGCCCAAACTCACCTCTGCACACCACGGCTTATACGGCTATGCTGCCCCGAGTGTTTAAGGGAGGAAAGTCAGAGCTCAGGGTGAATGAAATGGGAACAAGGAAATATGGAGACCAGGGAGCACGTTGCTTTGAGAAGGCAGGATGAAACTGTTCATCTTGACCTGGATTTTGCAGGGTATTAAAGCGAGGCACAGGATAGACGTTAGTCTTGTACACTCGTGCAGATGCCAGTGGCACTGAAATCTTACAGCTGCCTTCCACGGACATTCCTGCCACCCTGGCAAGAGGCAGACACAAATTGCTTTGCAAGATTCCTGACTAATTTGAGTCACTGATGAACACATTCATGAAAGGTCCCTCTATGAGGCTTTGCACACAATACTGTAAATTTCATATCCCACATTCATCTCCAGTTCATAGCAGTTTGCTTACAGAACAACCAGCACAGCAGGGAAAGCAGGTGAGCAAAGATGACATGACAAATGTTGTGGCCAAAGGTCCTCTGGGAGCTGGGAGTGCTGATGCTTAGGGTGACACTGTTGTGTTACTTCTGTGAAGGAAAAGTCCTCATGCCCCTTCCAGGCAAAGCTGGCTGCATGCAGAGAAAGCTTGTCAAGTGCAGCAGCAAAACTGGAAAGGGAATGTTATCTGGTACCCAGCCCACCTGGCTCCAGAGGGGTCCCTACTGCTCATGGAGTTGCTGGTCCTGATGGAGGAGCAGATGAAGCCCAAGCCAGACCAAAGTGTCCTCTTTGAGAGTGTCATTGCACAGTGTGGGAGTGGAGCCTGTCACTGTCACCCTGATCCCAGAAATCACTCCTCAAGCAGTGGCACCTCAGTGACAGCATCAATGTTTGTCCCAGGATCACTGCAGGAGCTGTGGGAAGCAGCACATTTGGGGACATGATGCTGTGAAAACATCTTCTCTCTTTTGAAAAGCTACCTGTCTACATAGATCATGATGTCAGGGCTAACATGCCACAGACAGAGATCTGGACTGTCAGATTAAGGTCTTACTAGTACCCAAAAATGCAGAGAAAAGACTTTGCAAATCTGACTCATATTTCCCGTGGTAAAAAATAATATTGGAAAACATTCAGTGATCCAGAATCGCCTAGAGAAGAAATTTGAGGAGCTGCAACCAAAACAGCAACAAAGGCAAAAGGAGATTTTCTCAATAAACACTCCAGAGTTCATATTTTTAAAAACAAAGGATGTGCACGTTTAAAAAAAAAAAAAAAAAGCCTGAGTGTAGTCTGGACTTGGTTTTGTCGCCTGCACTTTGAGGTGAAGGTGTAATGATTGCAGACATGCTGGAAATGAGAACTCAAGGCAGTGTTTTGAGAGAAACGTGACAGTCTCCCTCTCCAATGCACATCTCGCCTTTGCTGGCAATCCCAGCTGGACTTTCAGCTGTCATACCTGTCTGTCTGCTCACTGAGTTTGGCCTCCTGTGCTGCAATAATGCCTCTTCTGTGCAGGTAAAAGGGGCACCTGACATTTGGCTGTGGCCCAGGTGACCTGTACGTAGCCCCTGGTGCTGTCTTATGCGTTAACCTCAAATGAGTCTCACTGTGTTATCTGTCTCAGCACAGCTCTTGCTCACACCTCACTGACAGGCCAGAGGACTGACCTACAGGCTGAAATCTGCTCGCAGGCAGCATTCAAGCGTGTGATTCCCCCTGGGCCAGAGCGTGCCTTTCTGAACCTGGTTGAAATGCTGCACCAGGCTGCTTAACAGATAGGCACAGGCTCTGAGTAGTGCTTCAGTGCTCCCTGCAAGTGATCACACATCCTCTGCAGCCTTGCCAGCAAGAGAGGGCTCATCCATCATCTGCACTGAGGTGAGAAACGCTGCCCATGACACAAGCCTGAGAATACCTCACTGGCAGATTTCTGCCACTGATGTCAGACAATGAACACAAGAACAGAGGACAAAGACCTAAATCTTGTGGAGCTTCCTATTCAGGCAGAAAACATCGTGGACTTGCAGGGGTTCAGCAGTGCTGCTGGAGTTAGGTACTGCCCCTTAGAGAAAATGTGTTTTCTTTTCTTACTTTTCAGAGAGCAGCACGGGGGGATTCACTGAAACCTGCCAATGGCACCTGTCTATTGTGCTGTGCTCTGTGTGGCAGCATGTGGGTGGGCAGCAGCAGCTTCTCAGGGTGATGCCTGTGCCACCAAAAATCCTTGCTGCCAAGCAACAGGAGACCCAGAGGCTCTCTACCTTCCTGAGGTGAGTCAGGCTGGGACGGTACTCTGGAGCTGAGGCTGCAAAGGACTCAAAAGGCTTGGCAATGTCTTAGTCAAGGAGTTTTACATTTTTTATTTTCACAGAGGTTTAAGAAACAGCAAAACCTCAGCCCTAATGTTACATAGCTCCAGAATGTGCTTGTCCTTCTTCAGTTATCTGACCTGACCATTTTCTGCCTTCAGAAAGATGCTCAAAGCTGCCCTTCAGAGGGAGGTTCTTGCCAGGGTTTGAGAGCGGTGTGGCAGGGGGAGGCAAGCCAACACCAGCTCACCTCCATCCCAAATGGCTCCCAGTGCAGCACTGGCCTCAACTGCTCATGGATGATTGCTAGGGACATAGGCCTGGACCCAGCAGAGAGTGGCTTTATGAGTGATATTGGTGCAAAGCACATTAGTCTTGCTGTGCTAATTAATTACTAACTACACCTCCTGAGGCAAGTGAATCAGCAGAGAGCATATAATTAAACTCAATATTGGTTTTGATATATTTTAAACATTCTTCTAGAATTCTCCACATGGAAGAAATAAAGAGGGCAGCAATGATGAAAGGTTCATGTGAACACTGAGTATCATTTTAATGCTACTCAGTCCTGCCTGCTACCATCACATTCCAGCACAGTTATTTAACATCTTGACAAGACTGGCCTCTTTTTTTTTTTCTTTTCTGTTGCCATGAAAAATGAAGTAATGATCCCAAAGCATTGTTCAAATGAACGCTTTAAGTGGTAAAGAAGGAAACAAAGCCTAAAACATAAGAGGGACAAGAAATAACGTGCTCAGTGTTTGTGAATTGAAATGCTTCCTATGTGCCTGGTAAAGAATTCAGAAAACAGGTTCCCAAAAAGTTTTCTGTGTGCTTTCCAGACTGATGAGGCCAGCTGCAGTTGCCTTTTTAGGGTGCTTCTTAATAAATCATCTCTTAATTAGATGCTCTTGTGGCTAACTTTCAGCTCTAAAGCTCATAGGAATTTTAATCAGTTTAGCCTCTTTTGAGTGAGGATTGCATGAAATGTATCCATGCGTCCATCCTGACTGGCCATTTGGTGATGTATCTGTTTCATCTGCAAGGCTGGCAGAGAAAACATGAGAATTATCAACTCAGCATACAGCAAGTCAAGGCTGGGAGATTACCCATTTAAGACTGGACATGTTGAAACTGTTCCTGGTATCAGTACATTATTTATTACATTCCTCAGTATAGTCTGACAATGGCCTTGGCCCTTGTTCAAGGCTGAACGGCTCAGCTCAGCACCAGGCACCTCAGCGGGATGCTCAGCAAGCCCTGCAGGGGAGGTGCTGTCAGCTGGTGGCAGATGTTTGGCCATGTAAGGCTGTTTTTCCCCCAAGCTGTGAGCCCTGCCTGGCTCTCTACATGCTGCTCTGCCTTTGCAAAGATGCTTAAAGCAGCTCAGAACAGTGAACCCTTAGGGGTGTGGAGCCATGTGGGATTGCAGATAGCGGGGAAGGAGGGAAATATCTGACTCAGAGTCTCCTTTATTTCCCCTCTCAGGCATAACAGAGTCTCCAGCCAGGCTAATGACACAGTGGGGTTTGTGTTGCTTAAGCGAAGTACCAGCATGGTGGTGAGGGTGAGGATGAAGCTGAGGGGAGCCTGCAGAACTCTGGGGAGTGGTGGCACTGCTCTGCGTGCTGTCTCTGCCATGCTTCTTAAGACAC